CTGCCTCCATCCTCTGCCACGGTGGCCTAAGGGACACCCCGTGGTGGGTCCTGGTCAGCGTTGGGGACAACCCCACTATTTTCTTTTGCTGGTGTTTTTGGTGAAATCCCCCTCTTCTTGGTAGGAATCGCCTCCTGCAGCAGGCACCTCCCGGGGTGGGGACATGCCGGTGGGTGATAACGGCTGAGTATTTAATCTACAGTTCATAGAGCTGGTTCCTGGGCAGGATGAGAAGAAACCGTCCCGCATCGCCCTTCACAAGCTGCACAGCGTGAGATCTCCAGGAAGGTTTAACTTCACAGTTCTGCAGCCGAGTGGGGTCAATGGAGGGATCCAGGGTGGATTTTTTTTTTTTTTGCTTTATTTTTAAATTTTTGTTTTTAACCCAGATCCATCCCTACCCAGTGTTATTCCCAGCTCGCTGCGGGGACAGCGTGGGGGTGAGAGCACCCACGGCAGGACCAGCCGTTTGAAGCCAGCGCTGTGAAAATCCCACAAACACTCTTGAAACCGTGTCCGCAGGCAGAGCTGCAGGTGAGGGATGCGCAGATGATGCTCTCCCCAGAGAGAGCACGGGTCTTCTCACCCCCCCGGATTAATTAGTAAAGCAGCTTTGCATTTTGAAACAATCCCTACGTGGCTCAGCAGTGCCTCCCCGGAGGATGCTGCCGAGTTGGGCAGGAGGATGCCGGGGCGGGTGCGTGCTCCAGGCAGGACACATTGCAGGCAGGTTCCCCTCTCGTCCCCCATCATTTGCCACATTGGGTTGCAGCCGCTTCCCGAGGTCGGGCTTAGCCCCAGCCAGAAAATGAAGGGGGAAATTAAAACAAAAGCCCCCCCAGCCCTAAAGCAGCTCCTGGAGCGGCTCCTCGACGCGTTTTGGGTTCCAATTTCTTGCTGCCAGTTTCCGAAGCGTGGCCCAGGGCCTGGCATTAGCTCTGGCTGCAGCTGGTTAAGCCCAAATGAAAAGCTATTTTCAGATAAAAACAACCTCCTGGCATGTCCCCCGGGACGCTGCTTCGGGGCAGACCCCGCCGGTGACTTTCTCTTGTTGCTGTTTATTGCATTGAAACAGTGCCTGAGTAATTTTGAGATTAAGCAGCCAACTAAATAGCTGAGCTGTGGGCCGGTATCGCTCCCAGCGAAACCTCGGGGATGCTACCGACTCCCAAACTGCGGCCGTCGGTCCCATCTCTGCTTCCCTGCAAAGGGGGGTGCTGGTACCCAAACTTTTTGGAAGAGTTCGCATTGGAAACAGAGTCAGCCTTTTCTTGGAAAGCAGGAAAAAAGCACTGCAGGGGTGGGGGGGGAGATGCTTAGGGGCGGC